GTCATTGCACCTGCTTCTGCATTAATGGCTCTTGCAATAATTTAAACAAAATTCATAATAATCAATGATAAAAAGACAACTTTGTGTACTAAACAAAAATGCTAAAATTATAAACAATGTTATGTAATTCTTTATAGTCTTCAGTTAATGTACAGCTTCAAACAGCAAACAATTAACCTATAGCAATGACAACATAATATAACAATACTATACTTAGAATACTTCTCAATGTAGTCTTCAATAGCAGAGAATTGTACTTATCCTCTTAATGTCATTAACCTAACAATGGAATGTAATTCATCATACATAGTTACTGTTAGTATCTATTCTTCTTGTATGTAGTGCTCTTAGCATCACTAGCAGTAGTAACCACTAGTGATCCCAGGCAGTGTCACGTGGAGGCAGCACTACATTACTGCCCACACTAGAACAGAGAACAATATAATTATATTGACACATACCTAATGTACTTGAACCTTTAACAGGAACTTGCTATAACCTTAGGAAAGAGAAGGTTAATACATGACACATACTGTAAGATATGTCCATTTTTAAATATCTGAACGTGTGATTTTGGAGAGGGAATTTTTGGTGAATTTGGCACTTTGATAATAACCATTCACCAAAATAAAACCCACCATTATGAACCATTATGTACACATGTACATGCTCAATGGGACATGGACACAAGTTAAAACACAACAAAATTTAGCAGTTCAACAAATGCCACAACTTCAAATTACCAGATGCATGCTAGTTTAGATAATTTTAATTGCATTTGGTCGCTATTTAAAAACTGATTTATGAAGCACAAAATTTAGACACATCAAATGTCCATTATGTACATGTACATGTAATTACCAGTGAAAGTGTGAGGAGCAGTTAGGACATGTAACCACATCTTCACTAAACCTGAACAACAGATCCCTTGAATGACACCTTTTTTGAGAGCTATAGATTTGAAGGGCTTTTATTTTGCTGATTTAATTTTTATGAATTTATTCCATCTGCCATCTTGTACTGTATTAATTTGATTTTAGCTGAAGTAATTTTTGCAAATCTTTTAAAAATCATGAAATCTGTGAAATTTAAAGCCCCAAAAAGGCACCATACATTGTGTAAGAAATGGAGGAAGAGATGGAAAAGCTTCAAAATACACAGTTTTTAAACTAGATACTGTACACTTGTACATGTATTCTATATAATATACAATATTTATTACTTGTCAATTTTAACTCAGCTCAGACACACATACATGTACATGTATATACATCTATATAGTGTTATATTTTTACTCGTGTTGAGATTTTATGCTTGAATATTTCTATG